TTCCACTTTTGCCTCAATATAATTAGACTTGTTGAATTATTCTGTATGATTTAATTGTTGCTGATGCATTTTACTATTCTCTTAACTTTTACCGTAATCATTTCATTATTTAACTTACTTTTTATTTGTAAAAAAATTATTTATTCTTTTATAATAGTCAGCATGTAGTCCAATCAATATAGGAGGCTTGGCTCCATTTGTGTTGAAAATTTTTTTACAAAGGGCAATTTTTAATTTTCTGATGTCAAAATATCTGTAATGACCTGTAGAAAAAATGTGCCTGAAAACGAAAGTGCGCTGATTTTTTTTTATATGATTTTTTCGCATTTTAGTGGTCCCGTGTATCTAAGCGAGACAGCACTATAGGCGGCACCACGCGCTAGAAAAGGACACAACTATCGGAATGTAAAAATCGTATTTTTGATAAAAAAATTGTAGTTTTCTTGTTCAATATTATTTTATTAATTATTTGATGAACAAAAAAAACCTACAAAATCATCAATTTCTTAAAGTTAGTAATTTTTTTATTTATAAAAATTTGTTTTTTTTTTTTTATTTATGTATAAAAAATTGCTTCATTATAATAAATAATACATTTATTTATTATTTATTTACTTATTTTAGGCAAATAGCCAAGCTTCCTATATTTACTGGACTAATGTGTTAGACAATTATATGTTTAAAAATGTTATTATTTAAAAATTAGTAATAAATAAAAAAAAAGAGGTAAGTTTGTTTTATAATTGTGCATACCTACTTCATCATTCTTTCTAGAATAAAAAACAAAACAAAAAAAAAAAAAAATAAAGTCAATTCCTTGAATGAAAAATGGCTGAAAAGTTTTCATCACAATTTTTAAAATCTGAAATAGGAGAAAAAATACAGACATCTTGAATCTTTTTATTAACTCTTGTCTACTTTCTGTTGGTTTGTTTAAAATAAATATGACCTTACTAATTAATTCATCTTCAAGTCTGATATTCTTTTGTTTCCATCACTTTAGGCATTCTGGTATTTTTTTATCTTTGTCTCCAGCTTTTTTTCTACTCTCCAGGCTATACACGTCGCTTCTTATTACAGAAAAAGCACGACTTTTTTGTCCTTTTGTTTAACTCGTCGCTCTCCAACGTTTAAATACGTCAGACTAAATGAATTCCTCTTTAATTTGCTGGCGGACGTGCGACGGAAAACGTATTTAACGACTAGTCACAGTATTTTACTTATTTATTTTTAATTTTTTTACTATTTTTCATTATTTTTTTATTTTGTTTTAAATCAATTTCAATTAAACATATCATAATATTTCATTTAATTGAATATATTTCTATTTTAATATGCAGATTAATATTTTTAAAGTTTAATTCATAAATCACTTTGTCATATTGACATTTGAATTTTTAGTTTCTGCAAAAATTATCGAATTTTAAACCGAGTCGAAAAATTTGGATGAGTCTTACATTGATTACATTGTTGTAACATCACTTTTATATTGGCTACATTGCTAAAAAATTTTATTTTATATCACTAAGATCATTGTTACATTGAAAATAGAATGAGAAATGTTAAATTAATTAATGGCAATGTTACATAAAACACTTAAAGTGTTTTAAAATAGTATCACCCATTTGATTAACATTTTAGTCACTTTTTAGATACTTGGAAAAGTTTAAAAAATGACTACAATGTTAATCAAATGGGTGACGTCATTTTTAAACACTTGAAGTGTTTAAAATTAAAACACTACGATTTGCAGTAATGTTGCTAACATAGAAGAAGGATTATTCAAAATTTTATGTGTCGTTTTTAAAACATTTTCAAGTGTTTTAAAAACCAGACAACGTTTATCAAATAGGTGACGTCATATTAAAACACTTTTGATGTATAAACTAAAACACTAAGATTTGCAGTGATTAACTACGAGAAATTAGCAATACAAAGAAACGGTGCTGCTTGGGTCTTCATGGTCTAACATCTGAGTGATTGGCAGCTTATAATTTTTCTTCATTCATTTATGATGAATTTTTTTGTGATTATTGTTACCAAAGTCATTTTAGGGAATTTTTGTCCACCGAGAGAAAAATTGGAGATGATTTTTGAATGAAAAGTTATTAAAATAGAATCTTTAAATTTCTAAATACACTGTAAATCTCAGTTTTCCAAAATGCATTATTTTAATGCGGATAAGTGTGTTAAATATAACGTCACCCATTTGATTAACATTGTAGTCACTTTTTACACACTTAGATCTGCGTTAAAAGTGACTACAATGTTAATAATGTAAAAAAATGCATTTTAGAAAACTGGGATTTACAGTGTGTGCTTTGGTAAACCTGATTATTTATTTGAAAATGCCATTTTCTTACACATACTGACTTGGATCAAAACTTTTAGCAAAATGGACAATTTTTTGTCTCTCCGTTTCTTGTTCTGAAAATGCTTGTCTAGTACATCGACAGAGGCTGTTTCAGAGGTTATTATTACCAACGCGCATGAGCACACACCACGATGGGCCTTGGTGGTCAACCAAACGCGATTCCATTACACTTGACTGGGCGTGAAATTGCAAAGCTAGATACTCGCTAGAAGGTCTGGTTGATTCGTCTACATCTGCCAAAGTATGTGTGTATCATTCAGGAGTAAATGTCACTACTGCACAAAATGCCGTAGTGTGAGTAAAGCTAGAATGATAGGAACACGATCGGAAGAGAAATAAAGAGAAAAGAGGACGAGAGGGGAAGCACAAAGGGTGATGTGATGTCCAATAGTTTTCAAGCTGATGCCAATCGTCAATTTTTTTATTTGCTAAACCGGGACGTACTGGCCCGAGTAACCAATTAAATTGTTGAAATTACGGAGTTGTTTATTGAACTGGATAAATGAATTATTGAATACTCGAAATTGGTTGGATATAAATTGATAATTGATGGATAAATATATAAATAAAATAGAAAACTGACCGTTGCATTTTATATGAGTATCAAAACTCATCAAGAGTTGAATTTTTTAACTCTCTCGACTGACAGGATTTCTTTCTTTTTTTTTTTTATAAATTAAAAATAATGAAAGTAATGAGGTAAATTGATAGTCATTTTTATTTTTTCCTGTGAGCTTGTGAGTTTTTTTTAGCGTTAGTTTGAAAAAAATTACATTAAAATGTTGAAAGAAGTGATATATTCCTATGTGATTTGATCATTGATTATTAAACACTTGCATTTTTATTGTATAAATAAATACTCAACAATAAATTACGTAGATGAACAGAAAATTAAATAATTAAAATAAAAAAAAAATAAACTTCGATAGGAGAGACTTATTACTGTTAAAAAATGATTTTTTAATTATTAAAATCAATGTTTTTTGAACTATAAAATAGTTAATAAATATTTTATAATAATAAAAAAGCCTTAATTATAAACACATTAGTGGTTTTATAATGAATAAATCTCATTTTATTGTAAAGAAATATTTTTTTAAGAATTAATAAACCGGCGTTCGCAGCGCCACCTATCCTTACATCAATCAGAACTGTCATATTTATCAATTCACCGATTATAACCTCACTTTTTACCCTATACATATCTTCTATTAATAAAAATATGCATGAAATAAAACCAAAACCTAACCTCATTCGAATGTTATGTCATTTTATATTTAAAAAAACCATGTAATCCACAATAAAATATGAATTATATTAATTACATTGGATTCCTTAATAGTTCAAAAGATTTACTAACTGTTAAAAGATATTCTTCAACAGTTAAGAAACCTCCTTTAATATTACAAATTTCTTCCATCATTGTGATAACTGGGTTTAACCTAATAAAGTCTTTTTATCGTAGTCCTATGTTGGTTTTTAAATATTATTTTTCCCCCAACTTATATTCATTTCAATTAACTGTAAAATGACAACTAGTTTTTCAAGCAACATCATTAATTAATAATACTGTCTGGTCCTACCTACACCACGACTTAATTAAATTAATTCTTTAACATACTTCCGCTAGCTGAGAATGGTTTCAACATTAGCTTATGGAATGGCAAATTTTCCACTCTGCAAGATGCACATCATTATTTGTATTCATTGTTACCAGTTTAGCTGGAATGAAGTTCTGAATGACAAAGACAATGGATCTTACGTTATTAGATAGGACAGGAAGTGATCTTATATAATAATTCAAATGCAATATTGATGAAAATCATAATTTCTTGTAGGATATAAGATTAATCATAAATTCTATTTGAAGAGATGACTCTCAAGGGTCTGTAAAGCAAGTAGAATACCAGAAAGACGATGTTACTTCGTGACTAATTAGCCTCTCCCAATTAGCGTTTAATGAGACCCTTAAAAAGCAAATCCCGGCAAAACAAATGCTACAACTACCTTCACCCTACGTCTATTCGCTTCGTCATCGTCCTTGTAGTCGTCGAACAAGACCCTTCATCTTTTCTCTCTCCCAGCTACGCCTTTATTCTTCATTCAACCCCCCATTATTATTTTTTTTATCCCTTTTTCGCTCTATTGGCAAACTCCGATGGCTATCGGCATCACGACCCTCTCAATTCTACTACTCAATTTCCGCATGCCCAAGCATCTTATGTTCTCTATTATCAATAAAATATCAAATATATATTTTAAATTATTTGCTTCATTGTTATACGGCTTGAGATCTTGGCTTTTGTGTTTATTTAGTGAAGAGAATAGAAATTATTATTATTTTTTTCCATTAATTATCATTTATAAGGTTTAGCAACAGAAGACCCTTCTTTAATCAAAAGAAAATATTCCCGCAAACAGACGATTTTTAGAACGCAGTTGAAAAATTTTTATCAATAAAATTTATTTGGTAACTTAATACTCATATTTTATTGTCTATTGATTGAAGACAATTCATATTTTATGTATGATCATAAAATTATTGGATATTAAAATAAAATTTGATTATTTAAAGAAAAAGTCTTGGAATATATGATAAAATACGAGTAAAACCTGAAAAAATTACCTGTTGCATTTTTTCAAAATCTAGGCAAGGTCGAGGCTGTCGATGAGGTGGTCGATGTCGTTTTCTCGGACTACAAGCGCTAAGTGAATCCATATCAGTATCTACGTAATGATGATGATGATGATGATGATGGTGATGATGATAGAAGTGTGAATGATGTCGAGGTCTTGATCTAGGCCTAGGTGGTGGTCTAGGATCCCTGGTCGAAGCATGAAAGAGTTTTGGAGGTGGCGACAGTGATCTCCCTGGTTTATGAGCATCCACAGGAGGTGATGTACGAAATTGAACCGGTTGTGATATTACACTAGTGCTATTGCTTCCTAAGAGTCCTTGGACCTAAAAGTAATAATGAAAAAAAATTAAGAATGCGAACGAAAAGAAAAAAAGAACATGAATGTTGAGAAATAAGACTCAAGTTACCTCTTCATCACTTGACCCAGACCCAGCAGGTTCTCTGCCAGCTCGACTAACCGGCGCAGAACAAGTGGCTACAATTCCACTAGCTTCTGGGCCGAGTGTTTGTTGTCCCTGTTGTGTTGCTGATGAATGTGTCTGACTACAATGTGATTGTGTGCCGTTTCCACTGCTAACTTGGGACCACTTGCGTTTCTCTGGTGCTGTAGCAGGTCTACAGCCTTGTGAGGCAACTATTTTCGGGCTGTTTATCACTTCTAGCTCTTCCTCAGAGCTATGCTGGTCGTTGTAAGTTGAAAGAAGCAGCTCAGACCCTCGGGATTTACATGTCTGCAATGCAGTCGTTGGAGTAGGTTTTGATTCATCATCCAATTCTTCACTCGACGCACACACGAAGCCAAATACTGCAGGTGGTGCTCCAAAATCTGTATCTGATGGCACTGCTGAGTCAGTTGGAGCTGGACTTGCTGGACTTTCCATGGCTAGAAAAAAAAAATACAGTTAATGGATTAATTGAATTTTTGAAGTAAAACTTCTTTACACACGCTTGACTTGGGGAGTAAACTGGTGAATGCGTGACGAGAGCATTACGTAAAGTGTGATCGGGCAAGACGAACGAAAGTTAAGAGGAAGATATAAGTTAAAGGGATCTATTCAAGATATTTAAGTTCTTCAAAGTATTCAAGTTTATTTAACGGGTATGTTTTTCCCTCGCAGCAAAGTTATTGACTATGTTACATAAATAAAAACGAGCTTTTTTTTATCACATTTAAATCATTGTAAACAAGTAGAAATTAAAGCTCACGATAAAATTCAATTTTTCTTTCGTTCATTAATGATACTTACAAATTTATTATTTTTTACATTACTATGTAATGTAATTATACATATTACGTGGACGAAGTCACGGTAATCAGCTAGCATATACATACATATAGATAAAGAAGTTTTACTTCCGGAATAAAAATAAATGGGTCCAAAAGAAGTCCAATAAAAACCCGATTGAAGTCCAATCTTGACTTAGAAAAATTTGAAGTGCCTAAAACAAGTTTATTACAGGCCTAAATTTCGAAGGAGCCCAATTCAAGCTCAAAAATTATTTTCTAGGCCTAAAACAGACCCAATTGAAGCTTAAAAACTACTTTCTAGGCCTAAAACAGGCCCAACTCAAGCCTAAAAACTACTTTCTAGGCCTAAAACAGGCCCAATTCAAGCCTAAAAATTATTTTCTGTGAGCCTAAAAAATGATTTGGGCTTGAATCAGGCCTCCTTTGGGCACGCCTAAAAACTGATCATTTTTACTCAGGATTCAATCTTGTCGTCTAAAGAACATTCATTTTTTTTAAATATGAAGACCTTTAGGAAGCATCAAAGCTAGAGAACTGGGGATACATTAGTGACTCAATCTGACTTGATAATTGGTCATGATTATTCATTTTATAGCTAGGAAATCGACGATATCATCCTTAAGAATAGTTGCTCTATTTCAAATCTATAATGGATCAGAAAGTGTGGAGTCACTCACTTTAGTTCTAATGGACTTGAGTGCAAACCTCCACGCATTCAATTCAATGCTTTCATTCAAAGTCTCACATAACTGCCATTAGAAAACATTCCAATTCTCTCACTTAAACAAGTGAAAATGTGACAAATCCATTTGCTGCGTTAAAAGCATTTTCGCATTAAAAATATTTTTATGAAATTTTTATGCATCAATTGAGTTTAACTCTGTATTTTCAAGGAAAATAATCGATTCTGATGAATGAAAACTTATTATTGAAGCTTGATATTTGTTCTCACTAAAAACATCCTCAATAATTTTCAACTGAAATCAATTATTATACAAACATTTTATAGTTAAAATCTTGCTTTTTTCAAATCCTTTTATTGAATAATGATAAGTTTTAGGAAATCTTATCCCAAAAAAGGAAAAATTCATCAGTTAAAGAAATCTTCTATTACAGATAAATTCACAAAATAGATTTTCCAACGAAATGATCTTCATCAAAGTACTAAAAAATTCTACTCATCAATCCAGTGAGCAATTATAGACCCTTCAAAAAGTTTTTCAAAGGTACCAATCATTTTTTTTTGCAAATATTGCGTAATTTATTAGTTATAAATTAATTGAGTTATCATGAAATTGACATTCTTAACTAATTCTACACTGAAAAAGGTTCTATATATAGGACCCTTTCACGAAATTCAAGTCACAGCAAAGCTTTGTGAGAAAAAAGTTTAGTTTATGTTGCCATTTTATCCGAACATCAACACTAATTACAGTAACTTGACAACAAATAGTTAAATCAAAAGGAGAGGATAAAAATTAAGCAAAAAAGAGAACATCTAATTTTGTCTGCGTAGAGAAAACGACCAAGTAAATATAAAGATCGAAGTTTTATCAATCGGGTAAGTCGGCTAATTTGCTAATGTACTTTCGCAAGTATCGAAGCCATTCGAAAATTAATTTGCTAATGCGTCAGTTTGGCCATTGAGAAGGAGTATAGAGGTGGTGAAATACAGAGAAGTAGAGAGGCAAATGACATAGAGTAGTGAGAAGAAGATAGCGAAAGAAAGAAAAAAGGATAAAAAGTAGGAAGAAGTAAAGTTAGCTATAAATGAGATTGACGAGTCGAACATCGACTTTTCAATTCGTCTGGAAGGTGCAGTGTGTCCTAAAACGCAAGACATCAATCTCAGAGACACGTGAAATTGTCAGGGGAGAAAGAAATAAAAGAGAAAGATAGAGAAGAACATTTCTTGTGTCGTAGATTCAGTACACAACCGATACCGAACGTGATTGGATTTCCTATTCATATATATCCTAGGCTATTCTGTCTTTCACTGCACTCTCCTCTCGATACCCTTTCTATTTTACATGCTTTGCAAAACCTCAATCTCAACCCCTTCAACAACTTGAATATCGATAAACCAATTTATTTTTATTCCCATTCATTTTCTTCTTTTTTCTTGCAGTCGATAACATATTAAAATATAAGCAATTTCATTCACTACTGTTTTTGAATTTGTTTTTTTTTCATTTTAGATCTTGAATTAAAGTGCATCAAATGCTGATTTGATTCAATCATATTACAAAAATGTCCTTAAATCACAAAATGTCAAGGAGTTCATTTTAAAAATCACTTTTATATTTCAAATTTTGGAAGTGTTTTAAAATAACGTCACCCATTTGATTAACATTGTAGTCACTTTATAGATGCTTGGAAGTGTCTTAAATTAAAACACTACGATTTGCAGTGCACTAATTTTAATTATCAACATTTAGATCAACTTCCTCAACTTCACATCCAATCATACTCTAATGAAATAATTTTTTTAATTGAAATTCTTTCGTGGTAATCATTGAACAATATAACATCAGTTTGCGTTGAAAAATTGATAAAATCTCAGATAGAGTCCAAGATATATATATATATTGTTCTACTGAAGATAATTTTTTCATAACCATTAATAATTTTTATTTCCTATGAAATGTACAATATATTCACATAACTTATTTTTTATCTTCAATTATTACTAACCTTGAAGCTAAAACGGGTATTTTCCAATGTTCATATGAGATATTAAATTATTAATATGATTAAAAAAATAATAAAAATTAAAATAGAATTAATTATTAATCAAAAATTAATTATATAACAAAACCTAAATGTAACAGTCGAGAATATTACTCGTGCATTAAACTAATTAAAAATATTACATTCTCACTTGACAGATATGAGTGAAGAAACAGGACATTAAGGACGAGAAGGGTAGGATGTATCAATGTTGGATGAAACGAGTAAGTACTTGGTTAATATGACAGTTGATTTCTACTAGTGGGCTCTTCTGTCTCACGTAATGCAAACGGTGTTGTCTTGACACTTTCATGTCGTGTAGAGATGTGGTAAGCTCAAGAGACCCTTGAGGAATTGAATATTAATGTGGTTTGACAGGAAAAAATTCGAAAATTGTCAAAATACTCATTTCTTTTAAAACATATATCTTTACAAACCCAAAGATATTTTCACTAAAAAGAAAAAAAAAAAGCCATAAAGGAAATAAAAATCATAATATTACAATAAATTTAGTTCCATTTCAATTTTTAACATCACTGACTTGTATTCTAAGTCAAAAAAAATTTCAAACTCGCTGCCCTTTAATAAAAGAATTTAAAACGCGGGAAATTTGAATTCGTAATTTTTCTGATTTTTAAAAGAATCTTGTTTTAAATTACATACACATTTTTTTCCACTTCTTTGCTAAAAATTTGTTTAAAAATAACTACAAAAATTCAAAATAAACCTGGTTTAATCAAACCAAAGTGATTTTTTAGTTAAATATAACATTAAAGATGATTTTATGATGGTATAATTGGAAACTAATCTAACAGCGCCCTCTATACCCAAGCCTATCCGATAAAAAGTCCAACTTATGTATGCATGAATAGTCAATTAATGAGCGTATTTAAAGCTGATTACATTTCATTGAGTATTTTTTTCTTCAGCGATTCTTTACGACATACGTCTTATAAAAGTACTGTAGACTAGGGCGCAATTCCGTGGACGATATCGTATAATGATAATGAGAGCACAGGCAACGGTTGTACGCTATCCATGGATATAATATGGCAGTAGCATCATTCTATGTACTTATAAAAGCAGGTGCATCCGCATGGCATAAATAAGTGAGCCGTAAAGGACGCGCTGGTTTTTGCGAATGTATACAACACAAGTATCTAGAATAAGTGTGTATGTATATCATCAATGTGTGTATAGATGTCTGCTTATGCTTTTATGTACACAAAAGATACGACACTCTGTTTAGATGTTATATGTATTGCTGCTTACACAGTGTATATGTATTTTAGCTGGATAAATATGGATAGATATCTCTGTGTTTAGTCGTTGCTCGTGTAACTAGCGCCTCTCGCGTCACGTCTCGAGGATAACGGCACTACGTCACAAATTTACGACATGCGCGTATACCCTTTACACCCTATTTTATGTATTTCCCTCTAAGTGTATGCCTCACCTTCGTCATTCGTATTGTTGGGTGCAGTTGTGAGAAATACATGTTCTGTTGCATAAAGATGCACTTCTTAGATCTCTCTTTAAGGTCAAAAACATTCATCTAGACTTTCTAATGCTGTATTTCCTGGGAAAATTATCAAATATCAATAAATCAACGCTCATTTTAAAGCTTATCGGTTCTACTTTTATCATATGTTGATAAAAAAATTTTTGACGAATTTTTTGATTGAAAAAAAAAATTAAATACAATTATGGCAACACTTTGAGGAAATTTATACATTTTATTTTAAACTTATTTTCTTGTGGGGAAGAATTTGTTTGTCTTTATCTAAACTAATTAATCAAAAGATTGATAATATTTCTTTGAAATTCATTATTATAAAATTATTTTGATTATTGTCTACGGAATAATGGAAATTTTCATTTTAAGGATGGGTAAAAGACAAAAT